TTAATTAGGTACCAATTTATTTACAATTTTAACAAGTTCAAAAAACTATTTTTTAAAGAATTAAATATTGTTAAGATCCGCATATCAACACATATTTTTATAATTTGTCCAGTTTATCTTAGCCTGTGAAAATCTCGAAGGGCCGCTTAAATGTTGTACTGGTATGAGAAATTTGCCGCAATGCCCACGTTACGATTTTAAAGGGGGGTTTACACGGCGACAGTACTGTCGACTATCTAGCCGCGTTAGATAGTGTGGCAGTACTGCCATGACAATTCTTTAACATTGAAACATCAACTGTCACCGTCATCGTGTAAATGCGGCTTAAGGACAGCTATATTATAATAGTATACACTATACARTCAACAAACAGGATAGATCATTATTCATTACTATTTATTAATACTAAAATTCGTCCAATATGGGCTTCTATAGCAAATTACGGGCCGATAGAAAATATTTCTCGAAGGACTGAGACTATCCAATCCAGCCCTGCATTGAGTGCCTAAGTCACTGTGTAGGTATGACGGATAATAGGTGTAAAAAGAAATTAAACAATATTGGTTAATTTAATATTGTTTGTGTTCTTCAACGAATTCTCTTTAATAATTTTGGCGATGTCCATCCTTCTTGTAGGTACCCCAAGGGAATGGTATAGCTGAAATTAAATAATTTTATATATGTATTGATGAAAAAGATAKAAATGTAATAAATATCGTAAATAATCATACCCATAAAAATAATTTAGGGCCATAATGCTGATTTTTACCTTTGCYTCTTTTTTTGTTGGTGTTGTAAAGTATAAATTAATACCAATAATAACTGATTATTTTATTTTTAAATTTATTTCCATTGTTATAAGATAACTCTCTCATTTGAGCTAATAGCTTGTATTTGCAATACATTGAAAGCTAATAGGTATTTCTGAGTAACTTTATAAAAGACATATTAATAAATCATCTTACATTATTATCATTTGTTGGTATGCCGTCGTCTATATTTGCAGGTTGAGTAGCTGAAGTACTCTGTACATTTTCCAGATATTGTTCATACTAAAGATTTAAGTTACAATATTTTATAAAACCTAATTGCGTATATATTTAAAAGACATATTAATTAATTGCCACATATTCTGAACGGAGTGATATGAATGTATTGATTTATGTGTGTTTTTTTTTGTGTGTGTGTCTTCGACCATAAATCGTTTTTCATATGATTGTAATTCAAAAACTAATCACTGTAAATACTTGAAATTTTCAAAAAATGTTTATGTTAATGTTATCTATATACAGATTAATTTGACTTTTTTTGAGTTATTTATAGACAACTGAAATATTCGATTTTTATGATAATTTTTTGTTGAAGTGTCGGTAAAAAAATGTTGGATGACCAAAAAACTTGAAAATTGAATACAAGGTTCCTTATGAGTTGTTCTTATTGTAGCTAAAAAAACTAAAAATCTTTAGTCACAATTTTTTTTTTTTTATAAGCGTTAKAGTTCAAATTTTTACGAAATCTGTCGAAAACGTGAAAATTTGCAAGTAATTTTGAAGTTGAAAAATCATAAAAATTGTTCAGTTTATAACTAAGGATTAAAAATACAACACTAAGTTTTCTATAAGTTTTCCTTCAAGTAGGTATAAAGAAAACTCAAAGAATCATTATAGGAAAAATTTTAAGTGCGTTTGAATTTTAAATTTTTACGAAATAGCGTGACGATAACGATTTATCCTGAAACGATTTTAAATATTTGGTATTATTCAAAAAGTATATAAGTCGTAGATACTTGAAAATTTTACCAGTTATTTAGTGGCATTTTCTTTAAATGATTTAATTTTCAAAATATTTTGACTTTTTTTGAGATATTTATAGACAACTGAAATTTTCAATTTTTCTGAAAATTTTTTTTGATGTGTCGATAAAATTCTTTTGGCCCAATCAATATACTTGAAAATTTTATACAAAGTTCCTCATAAGTTATTCTTATAGTGATTAAAAAAATATAAGAATACATAGGCACAATTTTTTTTTTTTATTAGCATTTGAAGTTCAAATATTGACAAAAATTCGTCAAAACCATGAATATTTGAAAATTATTTTGTAGTTCAAAATTCATAAAATTGTTTGTATTTATATCTAAGGTTAAAAAAGTCAACACTAAGTTTCCCATAAGTTTTGCTTCAAAAAGCTATAGAGAAAATTTGAAGCGTCATTGTAGGAAAAATGTTTTAAACGTTTGAGTTTTAAATTTTGATGAAATCGCGTAACGATAACGATTTATCCTCAAACCAGGTTTATGTATATCTATAATAATATAAGGTATTATGAATTATGATAACTGATAACTACATGCAATGTTTTTGGAAAAATTGATGAACCATGCCTTATGCAAAATACCTACGTCCTAATAGAAAAATAAAACATTTGTTCCAAAATAGAATATAATATGACAATATTTAAATATAATATATCCTATAGACTGACAAATCATCTCCGTTCAGAATCGTTTTTCGTATACAATAATACCTATTATTGCATTCAAATCTAACCTACCCTAGTCAGAGGTCCACCCCACCCCCTAATGTACAGCAAAGCGGTATCCACTTACCCGCTTTTTAATTTTTTTTATTTAGGTGTTAAAATGATAATGATTCGTCTGTTTTATATTATAATAGACAGATAAGTTAATAGTTTTTAATTAAAATATATTTATATAATTCGGTAGCAACTACCTGCTTCAAATCTCACCATTACCGATAAGAGCAGTTAGCATCTAGTATCTTATATATATCTATAGGAAAAGCTAACCAATTCAAAATCCCCATGGATATATACTTGATTATAATTGGCACCCTTAAATATGACATTTTTGTTTTTATTATCATATATATTTGATTGAAAAGGGGTGTAAATGCAATAAGTATTAAGTACTAACCTTGTATTTATCAACCATTCATAAATTATAAAATATCATAAGAAATAGAAGCTGACATCACAWCGTCAGAATTTTTTTTCGTAGATACCTTAGATATAGCTCTATACAGGCATATATATAAAAAAGATTTATCATTGCATTCAAATTTAATACATCCATTACAAATTACAATGACTTAACTCAATGACGAGGTAAACACTTGAAACCAATACAGTAAAGCGAATTTCACTTTTTTTAGTATTGAGAATTGTTGATTCACCTTACCACTACCACCAACACCATCACAACCATCCAAAGTATACGATCTACATCCATTTTGCTATTAAAAACCACCCTCAATATTGAAGTWTAAAACATTTTTTAAAAAATTATAAAAACACACATCATTATTATAATAATACATAACCATTATAATACATCGCGCTGCTCAGAATTAAAAAAATAAGTACTATAATTGCTACTGCAGACAATAATGTAGGTATTATGATATTTTGATTACATATGATTATTAATGCTTATAATACTTTATGATAATTTCTTATATTTGATCACATTATTGACAAATGTAAAATGAAAATAGTATAGATTTTTATTATTATTTTTATTTTTATTATTATTATCTCTGTCATTGCTATAATATTAGTAATTGYAAATCAGTAATATTTTGTGTTGGTGGCATCACAATATTAAAATGAATTTAGCGTAATATAACAACCATTAATATGAGTCACATGCAGATGCATCTAACTTGTGTCGTCAGAGTTTATAGGTATCTGGCCCATACGTCTTGTCCCATACTCAATAGTGTTGTTTGTATATCTTTTAGTTTTTTTTCTTCTAAGTTTGCACTCCATAATACACTAGGAAGTCAGGAAAACTATTATATTATAATATGATAATAGTAATTTATTTTGATCTACAGTGTGCAATATTGTATACATAATATAGATACATAATATATATGACTGACGAATTTCATATAATAGAATATAATAGTGACTCACATTTCGTCACTATATATAATACTGTATAGGTTTAATAATACGATTTTTTTTTTTTTTTAATTACCATAATAATAGAATTAGTCTTCCAGTAAAAAACTATAGACTATAGTGGATTTTTTTTCACACGTTTATCCTTGATGATGAGTGTGATGACATATGAAAAACAATCCGAAGGTTGAATTTTTGACTCGCGCGCGCACCTATATATCTGCAGGAGACTTGAACAGAGAAATCTGCAATATTCTAGGTCACCGCGCAGGAATGCAACCATAATATTATAATGTGTTATATATAGTATATAAATATAATAATCCAATAGGAATTTTTAACGTGTTCAAACACACACGCGTGCATATTATTAATATACTGCTGATATAGAATATACCTACCTGATATAGGTACATAACGCGTAAGACCTTTCTCCGTCTGYAGTTTATGTTATAATATCATTATATAAAGCTGTAGCGGCTGTATATAATAATATATTATATTATATTCGTTATAGCCCCGATGGCACACTACTTTCTTTGCGGCGCGAGGATATACAAAACTTCAATATTATACATGTAGAGACACATACTGTAAAATATAATATAATATATACAGTGCAGCTAAAACGGTCGTGATGGAAGTCGAATTAAATACCGCTTATCATAACATCGTGCCTATTATATATTATTATTAGGCCGGTCTGTCTGTCTGTCGGTGGGTGGGGGGAATACGATTTGGATTAACTGATCACTTGTCCCCCGCAGACCTCGCACGCGCGCTTATATATATATTATACATCATGTGTAAAATTTTTTTTTTAACGTGCAGACATCTCGATCACTGCTACTTTATATATATATATATACATAATATACATAATATTATGTACTCAAGACACTGTCATAATGTTGAATTATACCTACACCGGTGTACACATATTACGCGTATATTATTATATTATACGGGCGAGCTTTCACTCTCCGACGAGCGCCGCCGCCGCCGCCGTTTGTCGCAATTCACGCCGTCGCCAGCCGCCGATTACTGCGCGTCGCGTGGCCCACGTCGTCCGTCGATTTTTCTCTCATAATAATATCATAATGTCGTACCTGTACGTCACAATAATATTATGATTCGTATCWTTGTACACGCGCAAATTTAGCTACCTACACTTTAACCGTGTACATTGTGTGCTMGCGTACATCGTGTAATGGATTATCGATAATTCRTTTTCGTTGTGATATTACTGCACGCGAATTAGACATAATCATATAGCGACATAATAATAATATTGTCGTCATCGTTCGCGCACACGACGTCACGCGATGAGTTCGTCGCTGCAGGAGAGCGAAATCGGACCCGAAGAGCGGGCGACGGACAACGACGATAAACTGTCGCTGGAAAACCTCAACCTGGACGAACTCAAGACGCTGGTCTCRATATGGTAAGACTGCATTCTGACTGTATATAGGTGACTATATGTGTATATATGTATAGAATAAGAGGAGTGCACAGAGTTGCAGTCGTATAATATGCATACCCATATATCACATACTATATTACCTATAATATGTACCTATAACCATCTATAGGACCTAGGTATTATGTAGTGCAGGTAACCTTTTTGTTTATTTATTTTAAGCATACAATCCGGACTATAGAAGATACACTAATAGTAATAAATATGGGTAAATAACATGTAGGTAATATAATTAAATCAATACAAATACTGTTAATAACCCCTTCACCCTCATCATATTAGTGCAATGATCCATCCCCAGTGGCCCAGTCTGAAGTCGGGTCTTACAGCTACATTTGTTTTGTTTTATTTTCTAGCTCCCTCTGGAAAGCCCTATAGTCAAAAATTTTAATTTTCCAACAAAAATAATATATAAGTAGTTATCTAACACAATATAATGTGAGGATATATTATTATGTATTTATCTAGTTTGTATTTTTAAATAGGTACGTATTTCTCGCGGAAAAATGTGCAAACTTTATTATGATATTATGTCATCACTTATTTCCTTGCGACAATTTTTTCATCATATCCATTCATKATACTAACTTATCGTATGCGTGACCRTTAAAATAAATAATAACGAATAAATATAAAAATAATAACGCATTATGCAAATAATCAGTATATGATACGACGCGTTTACCTTTATCGATGTAAAAACTTTACAATTTTGATTAATATCTATACACGTATATATTATGACATATACATGATAATAAATATCCTCATCGGTATAAAGCGTATTATATTATACAACTTAATGCAACACCATATTATATTATTAATATGCACGTGAATATAGGTATAGGTATAATAAGTAACGACAATCATTTTGTCACCAACCTTCACCCAACTAACGATGAACAATTRTGATTCGTATATATATATAGTTTTGTACGTAAATTTAACTACCTATRTATATGATATACGCTTCAAAATATAATTTTATGTTATTGTACATTAATTGTCGTTTATATTTATATTATAGAGATAAATGGTACCTATAGCCGCGCTATTTAGTGTTGCGTATTTGCGTTTTATAAATTAAACTTTTTAGCACTGAACAATATTGTGARTACTTTATTATTGTCTGAATACTATTATGACATTTTTGTCCATGGTGGCATATATAATTTACAACAAATTTTATCTTACAACATAATGTATTGAATTATAACCTCTTGGAGAATAATTTWAAATAAAATTCTCCATACCTATACTTCACAATAATTATTATTATTGTGCTCACAATTATGCATTTTATTCTATGGAGAATAAAAATTGTCTGTCTGTGTCCTACTATCCTAGTATTGTAAAAACCTAACACTATTACGAGTATTATGACATTCAATAATTTCTATACAAATATTATATTGTGCACATTGTAATTAACACTTG